AGTGTATCCTCTCTCCTCCGCAGAGGCTTTCCCTTTGCCGCCTGCGCTCCTTCGCCCGGCGGCTACGCTCGTGTTTCAAGATCCGCCATGTAAAGTGTAGTGAAATGTATCTCATCGTAATACTACGGAGCCCCGGAGGGGCCATCAATAAAAAACACAAACTTTTTTGTAAAAAAAAAACACAAACTTTTTTTTGAAAAAAAACACAAACTTTTTTTTGAAAAAAAAACACAAACTTTTTTTGGAAAAAAAACACAAACTTTTTTTTGAAAAAAAAACACAAACTTTTTTTGGAAAAAAAAACACAAACTTTTTTTGGAAAAAAAAACACAAACTTTTTTTTGAAAAAAAAACACAAACTTTTTTTTGAAAAAAAAACACAAACTTTTTCTTGAAAAAATAAACACAAACTTTTTTTGGAAAAAAAAACACAAACTTTTTTTTGAAAAAAACCAAACTTTTTTTGAAAAAAACCCAACTTTTTTTTGAAAAAAAAACACAAACTTTTTTGGCATGGTACGTAGACTTTACGGGTAGCGGATTGCGGAGTGCGGTTTGCGGATGCGGATTACGGATGCGGATTGCCGATGCGAATTGCGGATACGGATTGCGGATGCGGATTGCGGATGCGGATTGCGGATTGTGAACCCATGCAAATCGTTTATTTCTTATATGTCTTGGTTATAACGGAGTATATCTGTGTTAGAATGAAGCAGCCGAATATTTTGACAATAAAGAATAAACCAAGTTCGAATAAAATGAAACACTCAGATTCAAACATTTCGTAAGTCACATCGCGTGTATGGCGTGTATGGAGCTAAAGAATTCACTGGACCGATGACAAATAGTGACAAAGCAAATATAGTGGCGTTTAGTGTTTACTGCTAGACGTACATCCAGGCTCTAAATAGTTACTTTCAAGAAAAATTAGGTCGATACATAGATGTTTATTTACCCTAATCACTACAAATGTTTAAGTTGTTAATAAACAACCTCAAGAAATCGGATTTTGTGCAAGGCTGCCAAGGCTGATGATATTCTATTTATTTTAAATATTCTGGAGGAAACACAGTGAAGGTTAGTTTTTATAGTGAATACTATTTATCAATACTGATTGCTGTTGATTTGAAACTCGATTTTGATAATTATACGGTGTCGGTGAAACGAGGACGCAAAATCATTGGACAATGGCGGATTTTCAAGAAAATCATTATTTTCAAAATAGGCCGTTTCAATTTTAATAAGTTTTCGTTTCAACTGTGTCTTTAAAGGTTTATAACTATATATTTTGAAAGCTTCAAATGCGTGTGTTTACACGTGCAGCAAGGCGAGATTTTGAAAATGTAATAGATATTTTTGAATTTCCGTGGCATAACAACAGTTTGTTGCGAACAGTTTCTCGGCGAATTTTCTACTAACCTTAATATAAATCCAACTAAAATGTAGGCATTTTCATAAGCTTTCAAACCATCCGCGTTGGGGGTGTATGTCGTTAAATTTCGAATTAAAATAAGCGGTTGAACCTCGTGCCTAAAACCAGACATTATATTGTCCGACTAGAATGTGTATTCCGACGGAAATTTTTACACCCTCGTTTAGGCAACGAATTCTAATTCTCGCTCAATATTATAGCTACAATATTATAGCTCGTACCAAAATGTAGCTGAATTCACCAGCTATCTGACAATATACGTAAAATTATTGTACCTGTAATATTCGCACAGATATAGTCGAATAAAAGTCGTATGTTTATGTTGCATTAAACTTATTTGTTGTCTAAACGAGCTGAGGCCAGCTGAGGGTGTGTCAAAATTACCGTCGGACAATATAATGTCTGGTTTAGGCAAAAGTTTCAACAGCTTATATTAATTCGAAATTTAACGATATTCACCCCTAAATGGTTTGAATGCTTGTGAAAATGCCTACATTTTAGTGGGAGCTATATTCCTGTAGCTACAATATTGAGCGAGAAAACGTTGTCTAAACGACGGGGTCAAAATAACAAAATGTAAACAATATTTGAAACCAGAATTATAATTAGAAAGTTTAATGCAACATAAACATGACTTTTATTCGTCTATATCTGTGCGAATATTACAAGTATAATAATTTTACGCATATTGTCAGATAGCTTATGAAAATGCCTACATTTTAGTTGGATTTATATTCAGGTTAGTAGAAAATTCGCCGAGAAACTGTTCGCAACAAACTGTTGTTATGCCACGGAAATTCAAAAATATCTATTACATTTTCAAAATCTCGCCTTGCTGCACGTGTAAACACACGCATTTGAAGCTTTCAAAATATATAGTTATAAACCTTTAAAGACACAGTTGAAACGAAAACTTATTAAAATTGAAACGGCTTATTTTGGAAATAATGATTGTCTTGAAAATCCGCCATTTTCCAATGATTTTGCGTCCTCGTTTCACCGACACCGTATAATTATCAAAATCGAGTTTCAAATCAACAGCAATCAGTATTGATAAATAGTATTCACTATAAAAACTAACCTTCACTGTGTTTCCTCCAGAATATTTAAAATAAATAGAATATCATCAGCCTTGGCAGCCTTGCACAAAATCCGATTTCTTGAGGTTGTTTATTAACAACTTAAACATTTGTAGTGATTAGGGTAAATAAACATCTATGTATCGACCTAATTTTTCTTGAAAGTAACTATTTAGAGCCTGGATGTACGTCTAGCAGTAAACACTAAACGTCACTATATTTGCTTTGTCACTATTTGTCATCGGTCAATGAATTCTTTAGCTCCATACACGCCACACACGCGATGTGACTTACGAAATGTTTGAATCTGAGTGTTTCATTTTATTCAAACTTGGTTTATTCTTTATTGTCGAAATATTCGGCTGCTTCATTCTAACACAGATATACTCCGTTATAACCAAGACATATATAGCCATTTCCTAGGGGGCATAGCATAGCTACAAGTAGCTACAGGCAATTATTGTGGCTTTTTTCCGAAGAAATAAACGATTTGCATGGGTTCACAATCCGCAATCCGGAATCCGCATCCGCAATCCGCATCCGCAATCCGCATCCGCAATCCGCATCCGCATCCGCAATCCGCATCCGCAATCCGCATCCGTAATCCGCATCCGTAATCCGCATCCGCAATCCGCCCTCCGCAATCCGCTACCCGTAAAGTCTACCATGCCAAAAAAAAGTTTGTGCTTTTTTTCAAAAAAAAGTTTGTGTTTTTTTTTCCAAAAAAAGTTTGTGTTTTTTTTTCAAAAAAAAGTTTGTGTTTTTTATTGATGGCCCCTCCGGGGCTCCGTAGAATACTTATTTATGGTTTAACCGTTCGTATAAACTTCTCGTCTCTCGTCCCTTCACTGTTCGTTTTCTCCATAATAATGTTTTACAAAATCTCAAGTAGAATCTATTTAAAACCGTATACGCGTCCATTTGATATTCTGTACCGCCCGACATAATATATTTATCCTTGCCCATGAGAAAAATTATTAAAAAAAACAACAATACAAGTAAAAAGTAAAGATCGTAACCATCTATCACCCCGAATTTAATGCGGCGAAACACGTGAATTTATAGAGAATAGGGTTCCGGGGGTTCCGGGTGGGGTTCCGGGTGTTCCGGGTGTTCCGGGTGGGGTTCCGGCTTTTACAGACACCCATTAATTTCTTCGAAATCACGAGTGTGCCAATATCGACGACGAAATTGTCAGCAGTTTATACAGTAAATAGTACAACGTTTAATGTACGATATATATTTATCTAAATGACATGCCAGCGAGGATCAACCCACGACGACCTCAAAATGTACTATACTATAGTCTGATGTCAATCCGAAGACGAAGTTCGGAATACTGTTTAATATAGTTTCGTATGTTGGATTTAAGCGATAGATTCAAGTCATTTATGATAGACTTTTTGCTGTGATGTTTTGCTATTGCTTTTGGTTTCCATTTCTAGTTTTATTTGTTCGATAGTCTTATAATACCTATAGTTCCGTGCAGGCCCTCTATTCTTCGCGCCGCCCGTAACCCAGGGCCTGTTCGCAGGCTATTTCACGTTTGGAAGTTCAGCATTTCTCTCCAAAACTCAATTTTAGAACTGTGAACTACCCATCTTCCAATTAGAACTGCCCATTTTGAAAAATGGGAGGCCTTAGGATGACCCCTGCTGTGTTGACTGCTGTGTTGACTGGTGTGTCTTACAGACTCTATACATAAATAATATAAGTAATATATACTTACCGGTTTAATAAAATAATTACATTTCATTTAGGCAAAGCTAGTATAGTTTTGTGCAAGTCCATGTTTTACAAATGAGTCCAGTCCATGTTTTACAAATGAGTCCAGTCCATGTTTTACAAATGAGTCCAGTCCATTGAACTAATTCCAGTCCATGTTTTACAAATGAGTCCAGTCCATGTTTTACAAATGAGTCCAGTCCAGGTTTTACAAATGAGTCCAGTCCAGGTTTTACAAATGAGTCCAGTCCAGGTTTTACAAATGAGTCCAGTCCAGGTTTTACAAATGAGTCCAGTCCATGTTTTACAAATTCTATGTTCTGAGTCCAGTCCATGTTTTACAAATGAGTCCAGTCCAGGTTTTACAAGTCCAGTCCAGGTTTTACAACATGCCAGCAGACGGTAGTATTTCGTCGCTTGGCGTAAGAACTACAACGTCTGTGAGCACAGGAGGCCCAGGCTCGATTTGCCCGCGCCCGCCTAGCTGTGCCTTCCTTATAACGAGGGAAGGAAGGAAACATTGAGACCAAAATAGCCCAGACTTGGCATATGTCAAACGAAACTATCCTCGATTATTCGCCTTTAATCCATTTCTTTCACGATTAATCGACATCCCCTGCAAGAATGATACAGTATAACTCTCAAAACAACGATGCTTTAATCAAAGAGCTTAAATTCGCTCTGAAATCCGTGAGGGAATAACAAAATTAGACGTTGGATAGACGTTGAAAAAGGGTTGACTATGCAAATTGGATCGACGTTACTGTTTCAACGTTGAAACAACGTTGAAATTAGGTTGCCAATCTCGTCAACCATAATTCAACGTTGAATCCACGTTAAAACAACGTTGAGATTGGTTCACAAATCGACCATGAATGAACGTTAATTCAACGTCTGTTGAGTGTTGGCTGCTGTTGAACCAATGTTTGTAAAACAACGTCAGAGCAACGTAGATATTAGGTTGTCGACGTCGCAACCTTTTTTCTACCAAATTTCAACGTTGAAACAACGTCGTGTGCCCGGTGGGAGTACTGTAATAATTTGATTATTTGAATCAAAACAATTCACAAACGTTATAAAGTCTACTACAAGTCGATTATATGTGTTACTGTAAATATAACTGCAAATATAACTATAACTTTACGCTGAATGTCAAATAGGGTAAATTACTATCCGTATTTACTGACTAAACTTCTTAAATTTAAATAATTAGATTTGCACTGGTTTTCCCCCGACAAATTTGTTAATTGTTTTGATTCAAATTTATATTAATTACTGACTACTGAAAATTTGAAATGTTTGTTGATATTCATCGTCCAATCAGGGTTGAGTGTATTTTGAGTTGTTCAACGACTTCCGCTTTTTGTCCAGCAAACCCGGCACGCGGATATATTTTGGCCGAATTTTGTTATTCCCTCACAGATTTCAGAGCGAATTTAAGCTCTTTGATTAAAGCATCGTTGTTTTGAGAGTTATACGGTATCATTCTTACAGGGGATATCGATTAATCGTGAAAGAAATGCATTACAGGCGAAAAATCGAGGATAGTTTCGTGTGACATATGCCAAGTCTGGGCTATTTTGGTCTCAATGTTTCCTTCCTTCCCTCGTTATAAGGAAGGCACAGGCGGGCGCGGGCATATCGAGCCTGGGCCTCGGACTCGTCCCCAGTCGTTATTTGAATTTCATTTTATAGGGACGAATAGGTATATATCCATATACATATATAGATCAGTACCAAATGTGGACGCGCGCAAGGGGAAAAGGGAAGGCGAGGGAAAAAATAACGACTGGCAGATTACAGAGACAAAATGACGGACAATTTGACAACAAAAGAGGAAAGACTATTTTAATATACACCACAGAGCGTTTTTAGCTGATAAACTCCCTTGTCCGCATGAGGAATGTCAGTATAATTTATCTTGCTATGATCAAGATGGTTTAGACCACCATTACAGGACAATCCATAAATGTCCTGTAACCTGTTATTTCACGGTCGTACTAATTACCGACAACAACCGACAACTACCGACAATGACCGACAACAAGCAGACAATTACCGACAACAAGCTCAGAATTACCGACAACAAGCTCAGAATTACCGACAACAAGCTGAAAAATACCGACAACAAGCAAATACATACTTTCAATGTATTCTTATAGTTATTTGGTTGTTTTTGAGGAAACCCAAAATATATAAATTCGACAGATTTTAATGTCAAACATTGTTGAGTTAAAACATTCCGCGATTAAAGATGATTGGTAAAGATATATTTTCATTGTTTGACATCGATAAAATCATAAACAATAGGATTAACACAACATCCTGACCAAGGACAAATGTATTCATAATAGAATTACAATTATGCAAACTATCTAAAAACTGCATAGTATGATGATGAGTCATCGATACCATATAAAAGTAAAAAACAATTTAGTATCATTTATTCAGTCTTATTGACAACTCTCGCTATCGAGCGAAAAGTCTTTAATATTGTGCCAGAGAACTGAGAGAAGCACTCAAAGGAAACACTGTCATGTTTGGAAAAGCTATCGATTAACAACCAATCGAAGGTATTCGTAAATCTAGAGTGTTGAATGCCTTTAATTGGAGCCAGCGAGCAATATAAAAACAGGTATTTTATTCAATTTTATTTATGCGTTTATATCTTTATATTTCACGATGAAATGCACTCTTAAACTCTTTAGATTATAAAGAAAACAGCTTTTTACTGGGGGTTTTTTGCAACCTGTGTATTTCACAATTTGGTTGCCGAAACTACAAATTTTTGTTATTTATAAATTACTTTATAAAGTGCTATTAACTCCAGGTTTTGTGTAATATGATTATGTCCCCCCTTATCGAACTTGCTACGGCACTGACTTTTGATTGTTATACCATTAAGTCTGATAATTGCACCACCAATGGTTCTGGTATCTCTTATTTTTCCCATTATCATTTCTGTACTCAACTTTACAACATATAATATATTCTTGTTTATTCCAGAATTATCTTACAATTGGGACACCATTGATCACACGTAATTGGGAATTTGTCCTGACTCACCCTGGTTTCCCAATTAAGCTAAAAATATTATGTCATTTGTAATACAATGTAATGAATTGGATTGATCATGTATTGCATATGCACATCAGCCTTTACACATGTAAAAAGAATATATTTGTTTTATATGTTCGCACAACACCCTTTTCTTTTCAGTTAGAAAATATAGCTGCCCGTAGTAAAACCCCCCCATCTGGGGACGGAAGTAATTAGTATGCATAATTACGCGGGCAAGCCTGGGCCAACTGTGACAGGTAGCGCGACCAATTAACGCGGGCAGGCCTGGTGTATTTTGATTGTTTTTTTGGGTGATTAAAACCTGCTCTTGCGATAGCTCAGTTGGTAGAGCGGAGGACTGTAGTTCCATT